GGGGGGGGGGTGTTGCTTGAAAGTTACTATTAACTCTCAGGCAACCAGATACTACAGTAATCGATACCCGTGGAGTTTGCTGTAGTTTGTTAAGCACATTTGTCTAGCACTAACATAGTGATAGTGATTACTTTATTTATGTTTTATCACAGACAAGAATCACTGTTTTTTAGAAGTATTTAGCTGTTTGATATTTTGTGAATCCATGTTGAGCCATAGTAATATGTTGGAGGAAACAAACAAAAAACATGTTTGGAGTAAAATTCAATATAGCATGAAGCTGGGATAAGCTTTTTAAATGATCCAAAAACAGATGATAAAGATATTTTATGATTTGATTCATTGAAGGGTTAATTGGTGATAGGCCTGTTTAGCTGTGGAGTTTAATTTTCCATATGATCCGAAAGATTTAAACATGAATAGAATTTAATAGAGCATACCCCTACTGCAGAGTTGGACTTGCTCCTATATATAGTGTTGCTTTGGATTTAATGAGAAGTGTATATTGCAGCCATATGGTCTTGAGACAGAAGGGACCAATCATGAATAAGAGTGACTTGAGCAACTCTGGATATAGATAAAAAATTAGGAAGTGCTTTCCAAAGACACACTGTGAGTAAAGTTTTCCATAGGAAGCAATTCCAATTGCTTAATTTGTAGACATTGTTTGTTTAAAGTGGGGGCAGAATGATCCTCTATGTACTCAGATATAGAGTATTTTTAGCCATGTTATTTAAAGAATAAGTTCACCTTTTGCAAAAATTTAAGAAATACATATTTAGTAATATAACAAAAAAATATGCGTTTCTTTCATTTTTGCATTGAAGCGTGGAAAGCATTGCAATGGTGATTACTCAATCAAGGCTGGAGAGCTCAGGCTTGTGCACATTCTCATACTGGCAGAGCTCCATGCTGATGTACGGAGTATCAGTTAGGAGAGATGGGGAAGGACGGCTGGACGGGAATAAGGACAGCTCTACTGCATCTAACTAGAGAGAGGATGGCTGGACGCTGTATGAGGTGATTTAATCCAGTTTGAAGTCCAGCCGTCCTTTCCCATCTCTCCTAACAAACTCTGTACCTCAGTGCGTACCTCTGTCTGGGAGAGAATTGAGTAATTGGGTGATCGAGTGATCACAGTTGCAATGCTTTCCAGGCTGGAATGCAGAAATGAAAGAAAAGCATTTTTTGTTGTATTAATAAATATGCATGTCTTTAATTTTTGCAAAAGGTGAACTTATCCTTTAAAGGAGAACTATGAGGTGAGTGCTTTTCACTCACCTCATAGTTCTAGCCGACCTGTGACAATGAGACTGTCACAGGTCGGCTCAGTAGATCGGGAAGTGAGCGAACACATACCGGCGTTCGCTCACTTCTCGATCCTGTCACAGCTCTCTGCCGTGACAGGGGAGGGGCTGGATTCCCCCCTCCCTGCTCCGATTCTCCAGCGCTGACTGGCGGAACGGACGGGTAGGGGGCGGGTGCAGCTGGCTCTGCCTCTAGATAGGCAAAGCCAGCTGTCACTCACGCAGCTGGGCGGATCCAGACATAATTGTCGGGATCCGCTTCAGCTGCGGTGTCTCAGTATACAGCTTGCGGTATACTGAGCTTAGGGTGACGGGAGGACGCTAGTTTGTGTCCTCCCGTTACCCTTCGGAGAACTATGGGGAAAAGCCCTAACCCCATAGTTCTCCTTTATGCTGCAAGCACAGCTTCAGGAACCATTTGTATATTAGAGAGTAGATGCAGAAATTGAAGCGCCACACCAATTAAAATAGTCCAGATATAACATTATGTCATTAGGGTCAGGGGACAATCGAGTAGAACTGTAGCACTGTGTTTTTCACTGTCAAGGATAGTTCATTGTCAAGACAAGGATACTGTGGAGACCATTAGGTCAGTGATGGCTGCCTATCCATTAGCCAGATTACACATACCACTTAACCACTATTGGATGAAAAAAACTGAATAATCACACAGGTCCAGTGCTCTCTTTCCATTTCCAAATGTATATTAGAGAGAAGTTTAAAGTTAGCAGACATATCTATAAGGTAGGTGACCTACGTAGAGGCAATTGTATGTCTTGGCTTGTTGTATGTATTAGGACCAGCTAAAACTGCACCTTTCTGCCATTCGCACCATATAGCACACAAAAGACCTGGGGGGAATTTATCAAAGCTTGAGCATAAAAAATCTGGAGCAGCTGTGCATGGCAACCAATTGGCTTCTCTGTTCAGTTTGTTTAGGTAAGATTTGAAAATGAAAGAGAGAAGTTGATTGATTGCAATGCACAGCTGCTCCAGATTTTGTCTGCTCCAGTTTTGATAGATTCCACCCATTCCATCACAGCTGGAGGGCCGGAGTTTGGCTACCCCTGCATTAAAAGGTCAAAGGTTTTATTGATCGCTTTGCTTCTTCTAGGACCGGAGAGAAACATTTGAGCTGTATTGGCACTATACAAGACAAGATAACCGTGTGTGCTACTGATGAGTCTTACCAGTTAACCCGAGATCGCATGTCCCAAGTAGAGAAGGAATCATGGAGCAGGACTGCCATTGAGATTAAACCTGAGGCTTCTCATCGAAGTATGTATATATGTGATGTGCATTTATATTGATCCTAGAGTAGATAATCTGTGTGTTGCTTTTTTTTTTTTTTTTTTACTGATTCCTCAGTAATTGGGGCATTTTTACACATGCACATTTACATAACTCCTTCCGTGTCTCAAGGCCAATTACATGCCACAGCACAAGCTTAGAATGCCTTGAGCACAGTTTGGCCAGCAGAATGTTCCACCTTGCATTATTAATGAATTGGTATGATGGAAGGTTATTGAAGTTTGTAGACTGCTAACCACCCACTGTTGCACAATATGAACCCTTTAGCTAGATTCAGGTTAGCAATTCTCTGTGTAAAAAGAATCTACTTGATTTATATAGCTATTACAGCTCACAGAGTTACAGAGTTGCTGTGGGCTGAATCACTTACAAGGAACTACAGAGCTAGATCTCCACTCTGTATTTCACTACTCTGTCTCAGTGGGAGGGAGCCCCAGTACTGGCCAGGGTTACTTATCTGAAGACCCATGTCAGCAGCTTCCTGTCTGATTCTCAGACTCATACTCTACCTAGTGGCATCAGTGCCAGAACAATGCAGGCACCATCAAGAAGGAGATCAAGTCATCCAGGATGGGCCTTGCAACACACCTGGTGTTGCACAGGAAGGAGTGGAGTCCAGTATGGAGGAGCCTATGGTCCTCCCGTGGATCAGTCTGACCCTGTCTCACATCATCAATAATTTATATTATTTTGCCTGCAGTAATCCATGTACATTTTAGGTATATTATTTTCTATTGTATGCATCAATATTTTTATTTTATTTTAATAAAGGATTTGCGAGCTTGGAAGTCCAGATAGGGGCATATTTTAAAAAATGGACCTTTAACCCCTTTGACTAAAAATTCACCTCAGCATACAGCTCTGCATGCTAATATGAAATCATATTACATTCATTAGTTAAACAAACATATTTTTATTTTAGTTACTATTTATTTTTTCCACCTTCTGGTCCACTTTGGCACAAATTAGGTAGTCGTGCCTAAGCATTGCTTCCTGGGAAGGTTACATCAGCAGAGTATTGCTAGGAAATCTCATAAGATCTCAGGGAAAGACCTTTTCCTCTCCAGAGATGCATGGTCACATGTCCTAGTTACATGTGCCAGAGTTCCAGCAAGTAAAGGGAGGTGGATTCATCTGCCTTAGTTAAAATGGCCACTGTGAGAGGAATGGGGAGGAAAAGAAAAATAAGGTATGCAAGGAATAGAAAGCCTGCAATTATCTATAAGTATGTGTTTGTAGATTGTCATTACTAAACATTTCTAAAGCTGCCTTTGTTTTTATTTTGAAGATATGGGTGAAGTTCCTCTATGGTTACAAAAAAAAGTAATAGAAGAAGAAGAAAATGGATTAACTTCCAAAGTTAGATTTGTGCTGTAACTGTTCAAATCAATTAGCATCAGTGTTGGGTTATCCATTAGAAGATCTTGTGTTCAAAGATCATATATAAAGAAATATTTGAAGAGGCATTTATGGTGAAAGAGGAGGGTTTAGCTAAGAAAAGAAGGGTTAGGGTTTGATGGAGAAAAAGATAGGGGTGATTCCCTTGAGGGTGAGTGAAGGGTTCTGGTATACGTGTGTTCAAAGGCTGGATGGATTCAATGAAGGTAGTTCTAAGTGTATCCAAGATTTCCACATTTTTAGGACTCAGGTTGTGAGTCATTGAGAACACTTGCCTTTTACTTCTTATAGTTCAGCTCTTTAAGGCTTTGACTAAAGTTCATTTGGCTGATAAAAATGAATTACTTTTTTGTTAGTTGGTAGTTAGTCCATCTATTTTACTAGGTAAAATAATACAATATTTTGGGATGATCATGCAGACGAAAGTACAGTATGTAATAGGCCAAAAATCCTAGACCAGAATGAGATAATTCTTGGACAAGTCCACCAAATGTGGCTCTTATCACCTAATATCCACAGCCTGGAGCATCTCTCGCTGTATGTTGGGTTGGTTTTCACAATTATTGATGGGCTCAATATGACCTAATTAGTACTTTCTAAGCAGATTTCAATGCAGCTATACTAGGTGAGCATTTTGCTATTTATGACTAGACACCCCCCCCCCCCCCCCCCCCCCCCTCCCCCCGAATATCCCCAGTGTTTCTGTTCTCATGTAGTTACATTATGTTCTGGGTTGTGGGATGGATGTGAGCATACATCATGGGAATTAACATGAGGAATTAGGATTATTGAGGCATGTCTGTTCCAATGCAATTATAGTATAAGTGGGCTTGTGATAGGTGATCCAGTACCCAGGATCCAGTATCTAATATAACAGTACTGATATTGTTCACTTGTGGGTGCTTTAAATTGTCTTTGGATCTTGGCCCTAGATAGAAATTGTCTAAAGTTAAAGTAATAACCTTCTGTGAATTGGTGTGTAACTCACCAGTTGAATGCACCGAGGCTCTGCATTCTTGGTGTAGAACGTGTTTGGCAATAGGGGTAGCAAAAGAGATGAACTGTCCCAAATTCTCAATTGCTACATAACAATCTGTCTATAGGATTTTAATTGAGAGTAACCACAAAAAACATCCCCCTATGTCTCTGATAGTTTTGCCAGCTTAGTTTAGTGTGGTGCTGATATTCAGCACTAGTCTTTTTTTGTGTGTGTGTGGACTGAACCTTCAAGTTGTGAAAGACAAGATTAGGGAACAATTAATTCTGGACTTGGCTCTTGCACAGTAGTTTACATCCTGTGTAAACAAGATCAGTAATTTTAAGCGCTGCATCTGTGCCAAGAAGGCGGTCGGTAGGTATTGATGCTTTGATGGCCAACAGTAAAAAGTAGTAATGTTTCTCATCCCAGTTCAAATGCAGAGCAGGAGCAGTTCTAAAAATGTCTCATTCAGTACACTAGTGGCATAAAAAAGAGTGTTGCCCAGTGACAATCCTCTTCTTAACATGGTCAGTAAGGAAAGCCTCCATTATCCAATGGTAGATTGCAGTGTTGTTTACTGTTTTGGTGCTGCCAAATGAGGATCCAAAAGCGTTCATCACCTGCGGGGCTAACTGTGACCACACAACCAATAGAAATGTAATCAGGCTTTTTGGCAAGTGCTGAATTTTCAGTACAAGACTGTTACCCTTCTCTCAATTCAGTCTGTTGAGTGAATATTGCTGTCTACATTATTGTTGTGGATAAATTATTATCTTTACTGTCAGATATTAATCTAGTGCAACACCTTTTAACAAATCAAGGCTTTACTTAGGAATTACAACATATGGTTTGATTTCTATGCCAAAAGCAGTCATGTATACCATCAAACCAGATTTCATCCTCAGTTCGGCGTATTCAGGGCACCCTTCAGTGTTATTGCAGTAACATGTCTATTTTGTTTCCCTGTTCAGAATTATTTTACCATATAGATAAAAAGCTAAGAATAGCACTGGCCAAAGGGCAGCATTATGTTGTTCGCTTCACAATGATTGTGTTTACTTTTTTTTCCCTCTTCCTGTTCCATACATGTCATTTTTTTGTGTGTTTTTATTATTAACATAAAGCCTGATATGTACAAACTGGAGAAAAGTGAAGTGTTAGCCATAGCAACCAAGTAGGATCATTTTAAATCTAATATATTCCTGATTATCCAATTTTTTGGGGGGTGATCTGCATAATCACTGGCATATAATCACTCAAAATTACACAGCTCAAATGTGGTTATGGATAATTACCAAAAAATGCAATTTGTGATGAAAATAAGATCCATTCAATCCTCCATTTGCAAATCAGATTGCTGAGCACTATCTGCATGTAAAGCAAGCACAAAACAGAACAAACAGCCTAATTTTTGGTTTATGGTCCCCATGGCTCTAACATTTAGATATCATAAAATGGGGAGTTCAGTCAATCCTCCTCTGCTTTTAGTATTGGGGACAAACATAAAGATAGAATGGCTCTCGCTGACATGCTATCATGTGTTAAACCAGTCTAAGAACAGATAACACATTAAGTTGGTTGCCTGGTGTTAGCTATCAGATCATCTACATACATAATCACATCACACACCACACCTCCCACATAGGTTTTTTTTAAACTGAAACAAAATTATCAGTGGGTATGTTCCGATATCTGAACAGTTCTACAGTTAGGAAGTACAGAAAAGTTTTTTCTTAGACTGCAGTCCAAGCTGCACTCCGGAATAACCATATATTGCCTAAATACAAGAGTCCTATGTATTCTTGGTTTGCTTTTATATATTTCTTCCAGATCTGTGCAGTAATACAGTGTGACACTTTCAGGGGCGGACTGACAACACATGGGGCCCCCGGGCAATACAATATTATTGGGCCTCCTTGTGCTCCACCCATATACAAGCCCCATCATCAGCCACAGTGCTGCTGTACGGGCTATTCACAATATTCACTATAGCCCGTACAGCAGCCGAACCCATAGGCTTCAGCTTGGCTGAGTCGTATTCACAGCCAAAGCAGGGAGAAAGGTCAGCCGAAGCCAACCGTTCTCCACGCAGATGGCAGCCTGGCGAAGCCTGCCGTGATCTCACGGCTGGCTCCACCCACTTGTAATAACGGATCAGCGTCCCCAAATGACCAGGGGATGCTGATCTGTCATTAAACAATAACAACTGGGAGCGGAGCCGGCCGTGACATCACAGCCGGCTCCACCTAGTTGTTATTTATTGGCTGGTGTTGGCCAATAGGAAACAGGATGTGCGTCGTTTTTTTAAAAATATTTTAATTTTTTTTTTTAATTTTCCTATTTTTTTAACTTTTTTTTTCTCATTCATTTAACTTTTTTTTCCTATTCTGCTCGCTACCATGGAGGTACTGAGCAGAATAGCCGAGCCAAATGCCGTTCGCGGAATTTGGCTATTTACTTACTGCCGTTCTGCCCCTTACTGCCGTTCGGCCCCTATGAGAATAGGGGTGAACGGCAGTGAGTGAGCTGCCGAAGCTTCAGCTCAGCCGATCCAGATGTTGGATCGGCTGAGTCGAACTCCTCCTCCTGC